CGTGACCGCTACCTCTGCTGGAGCTCCCCTCGCTGCTGCGGAGCCGATTTGGGCCATTTCGCCATTCGCCATCAACTGTTCTCCCCCCCCCCCGCTGGGTCTCCAGTGGAGGGGTGACCTTCCCGTTGTCCTCGGAAACAGCACATTCGCTTATCTTCCCTCCTTTGGTGAAAAAGTCAACGCCCCTGCCGTACTCTCCCCCACAGCACACATCTGCCTCCTTCAATAACTCGCCGCCACGCTCGCTGAAGTTTGTGCAGAGCTGCTCACACTCTTCTCTCAGGCTCTTATCTTTGAGTTTGGCACTTGATCCTCCAGGATCATCGTCGGGTCACCAGCGCATTTCTCTTATCTCCCATCAGGCTGCTGGTGAACGCTGGATCTTCAAAACAGCAATTAAGTGATGCTCTGCTCCAATGAATGAATAAAGGATGTGACTTTGAAATGCTTTCATTAGCTCTAATGCATGTGGTTAGTTAGCGAGCGGCAGCGGAGCGGATGGTTCTTGAAAGAGACGTCAGGTCAACTGACCCTGGGATATACTTCTGCTGTCCCCGTGTTACATCACATACATCACATACATCACATACATACATTACTGCGTGAAACATGGATTCTCTCGCTCGTCATCATGTGGAGAAATCATCTCATGAAAATCTTTGTGGCTTCGTTCGACTCTTTTCTTATTTCAACAAAGATTTGCTGCAGATAGTGGAAGAAAAAACAACCAGACCTGAGAAGTAACAGGTCGAGGATAAACTGTCCGACACATGATCGTCTAGTTCCGATCGTAGAAACATTTCAGACGTGGACTAACCTAAATGATTTATTCGTCACGAAACATCGTCACAAACACTGAAAACTCCAGATGAGCTTGTGTTTCCAGATGACTGAGAGTCCGATGATGTGAGTGTTCAAAATGTTTTAACTTGTGTACATTTCAAAATAAATGCTCCTGAGGTTTTTCGTCGACGCCTTCACCTCTTTGAAAAACCCGTTTGTATCAGTGTGGCTCCGTGTCCTCGTCTGATTGTCCTGTGATTGGTCTGCACCTGAGTCACACCCGAGTTCAACGACCTCCACCTGACTCGTGTGTTCGGAGTGTCTCTGGGAACCGGAACTCTCCAGTTGTAAATAGTTTCACGTTATTAGTTTCAGCAGTCGTGATGAACCATTGAGGAGCTGCGTATGTTCACAGAACACATTATTTTGTTCCTGCAATTAGATTTTCCTCCATAATCTGTTGTTGTGGTGGATTCCCCCCCTCCCCTCCCCCTCTCAAATGAGAAATCCTTCTATCGATGGGTTTTATTGACGTGTTAAAGGATTGTGGATTTTGCACTTAAGGACAGATTCCGCTGCGTTTTTCCTTCTGTCTTATTTTTCTCATCATCTTGATTCCCTGATATTTATTCTGTGCATTAGCTCATTTGAAGATTTAATTCTTCACAGTAACGTCACAGGTTTCCAGGAGGAGGATGTGTGGCTTCGCTCAAAGGTTTAGATTTAACTAGAAACAAGGAATAAACACATTCTGAAGTTTTTCTAAAGAGTCTCACGTTTCTGTGTTGGATTTTCCTGCAGATAAATTTCATTTTCCTCTTCAACATCGTGAGAATCCTGATGACCAAACTGCGAGCGTCCACCACGTCAGAAACCATCCAGTACAGGTGAGACATTTATGTTTAACGTGACCAGTTTTATTCTGTTTCACCTGCAGGAGACAAAACTTGTCCGTTAGCTCCTGCAGGTTCGCACCTTGAATAATTCAGGCTTTGCACTTGATCGGTGGAGTGTGGAACAACAGGGCCGGTCCTGTTGGAGCAGGAGCTCCTGAGTGACGGCTGTTCTTCTGTCATGGCTGTCTGATCTGCAGGAAGGCTGTGAAGGCTACGCTGGTGCTGCTCCCTCTCCTGGGAATCACCTACATGCTGTTCTTCGTCAACCCCGGCGAGGACGAGATCTCTCAAATCGTCTTCATCTACTTCAACTCGCTGCTGGAGTCCTTCCAGGTACGATTTGTCTCCCTGAGGAGACGTGAAGACAATTTAACGTCGTCTGAGTGGACACAGAAACGAGACTGTGACTGATGAACGTGTGTGTGTGTTGACGGTGTTTTCTCCTCTTCTCCACGCAGGGCTTCTTTGTGTCGGTGTTTTACTGCTTCCTGAACAGTGAGGTGAGCACCTTCTCGTCCGTTTGTCGACCCAACGTTTTGTGTTTCCCTCAGACTCGTCCCCTGCAGGCGTCTCCGCTCTCCCTTTTTCTCGGCTGCTGCAGTGAGTGATAGAGCTCGGAGCGTCTGCTTCCAGGGCACAATTACGACTTGTCATGTACCGACACATGTGACATCACGTTCTACGCGTCCTGACAGTGTCAACACTCATTTGGTTTCATGGAGAAATCAGCAGTGAAACCAGCTGAAAATAGAACAGAATGTTTAAATGAATGCCCACAGACACACGAGCTCCTCCAGGGTTAATGTGTGGTATTAGTGTTCTTATGCACATTAACACGAGTAGAAGGTGTTTGTATTATTATTATTATTTTTATTATTATTATCATCATGTGTACATTTCTGGTCTGCACAAGCTCGAGAGGGAATTTAACTTTATATTTTTACTTTATCTTCCAAAAGAATGATTATAGATTTATAAACACATCGTGTCACCGTGTTAGAGGCGACGGAGGTTGATTCTTTGACGCAACCAAAACCGCGGCGCTCTCTCACCTCGCGTTCACCCGGGGGACAGGTTCCATTAAAGCTTCTAAACATCCAGTCACTTGATCCGTAAGTGAATGAAGATTGAATCCATTCACATTCAGACAAAAGGCAGATGTAAGAGGCTGACGTGGGTTTTTCACCGGTGGAGAAAAGACTCTGGACTCGAGGATGAGCTGATCTGATTTTGCTGGTGGAAGGTCAAAGGTCACTGTGACCTCACGGAACCCTTTTTGATCTCGTGATTGTGTTTTTATGAAGAACGCCTCGACAGAATCTTCTCAAATTAGATTTCAAACGTTCAGAAGATGAACTGATTGGATTTTGAAGTGGTCGAAGGTCAAAGGTCACTGTGACCTCACGTGAGTTCGGTTGGTCGATGGTTCAACCACATGGCGGGTATTAGACTCCGCCTCCTGCAGCAGCGTCACAGGTGGAGAAACGCTGACTCATCAGACCGCTGCATCAGGGAATAAGCGAGTACATTTAAATTTAATACTTCAAGTACCAACAGCAATACTTTATTTTAAGTAGAAAAGTCAACGTGGTGCTTTTACTTTTACTTGAGTAAGTATTTGCGCATCTACTTGTACTTTTACTTCCTCCAGCACTCAACCTGTGAAGGTTCACCTGAGAACGAAGGGTTGTGTCCTCCGTTGCTCGGGGGATGGAATATTGAATTTCTCAGCTGCATTTGAAAGAGCCTCGTTTACACAATCAGTCTTCGGCTGCAGCCAGTGACGGATGTGGCCGCAGCACGGGGACACAGATATAGTGGGAATCTGAGAAAATCGGTTTCCGGGGCCTCAGAAGGTTGAATCTCGGAGCGAACAGCTTTTAAAGCGCTGGTTTGAATTAATCGCTCCGTCGTGCCGCCTAAGTTCCGATCGATACCGTTTTGTCTTTAACGACGCCCCTTGAATTACGCGCTGGTGTCTCTGAGCGGATCCTAATCTGCCAGCTGAGCCGGACTCCAGAAAGAATGGTAATGATGTCATCACGTCTGAATGGTTTGTTTTAATCAAGGCGACCTGCTGGGTTGACGTGTGAGTCGGTGGCGTTCGGCCTCACATCACATCCCATAATGGTCATTACCTCCGGTTTTCCTCGAGTAGCATGTGGATGTAATATCAGCTGACTGCTGCCCTTTGGTTACCGTCCCACACTGTGTTCTCCGGCCGGATGATGAATGACTATCTCATCATGAGCTGTGCTGTCGCATCAACCAGGGGCTTAACTAGCGCCCGTCGCCCGTGGAGGATATTGATTCAGTGTTTTGTTAGAGAAGCAGAAAAAGAGTCAGGGAGGAAGAAACGAGGCAGACGAGCGGAGGAAACCCGAGGTCACATTCAGGAGGAGAGAAAAACATTTAGCTGTGAAACATGTGTAGAGGATTAAACGATGTCACCGTGGGACAGAGGACAGACGTCAAACACGACGCTGGTTAGTCCGCTGATGAAACGAGCTGTAAAACATTACAGTGCTAAAATGAGGTTTTGGGGTTTAATTTGGATCAGCGCTGCAGATTAAAGCTCCTCCTGTACGTTATCACAGAGGACAGGAAGTGAGGGGGCAGGGGCACACGGAAGTGGGACACATGGGACGACTGATTTTGGGACGGTGGCGGAGGTAACCATGTTACTGTAGATTCTGTTTGCAGGACACATTAAGGAAATGAAGCGAGGCTGTAAATTCACTTTGACTCTGCAGAGACGTATTTATACTGAAGCCTGTTCCTGCCAGAAAATAAAGATAAAAGCTTGATGAAAAATTAAAAGTCAAAAGAACGATTAGAAATAAAAATCCCCTCTGTCGTTTAAATAATGAGACAGTGACAGTTACGATGCATTAAGTCAAAAATAGAAGAGAAGCAAAAGTTTTAAAAGTTAATTATTTTAGATTCTGTGTCAGTAAATCAAAAGCTGACTTTTTACTTCTTGCTTTGACTTTATATTTTATAATTTACCTTCAAATATCACATTTCTGTCTTTGTGTCTAATAA